TCTAGATAGATAGATTGAACAATGATGCACCACAGGCAGTTTAGAAGTGAAAGGACGTGATAAGAAGCTTTGACGCGGTTGATGTTTATGGTAGGTGATCTTCAAGGGGTTACCATGTTTATTATATACGCTCCCGCCTGGAATGCTGGAAGGAAAAAGTAACATCCGGAGGTGACTTAACCCTCCAGGGTTTGAAGTAGAGTAACGTGGACCCTGAAAGGCTCATGTGTATGTGATGTGTGACATTAGAATCCTCTAGCGCCTCGTCGTTCAAGTAAATCTGTAAGCAATGGAGCAGATAAAAAGTCAAGGAGCATCAATGCTTTCACAGACGATGTTACTACACGCTCAGGGGTTAGGGTAGCAACTGCCATTTTTCAGATAAGGCTCGCAACGTTGAGTTGCCAGCGACATGCTATACTCAAACGATATGCGCCACTCGTATGATATGCAACATCCGCATGGCAGGGCAAGAAGCAGAAGGAGGTCAACTGACGCTTAATATCAGATATTAAAGGGACTTTAGTTTGTGGATGAATCTTAGCCCATCTGGAGTAGGCCAATGGAATACCGTTGCGTCCATGCAACTGTGCAGTAAACCCAGTCATAAGGGTGGCATTTTGGATGAAACTTAGCTACATTTGGTGGCTGAAGAAATCAGGGCATGCAGCCACTCTGCTATGTAGTAATAATACTACCAATTATACTTCAGCTTGTTGGAGGATGCATCACATCCTTAAGCGAGATTGCAGGACTCTCCAGTTTCTTTGATTCATCTGGCAACGTGGCCTCATACCTTATCGTTCGTTAAGTAGACGTGTCCGTTCCTTTGGTGTCGCACCTACAATTTCATGCATGGAGCAGAACTGGACTTCATTTGATCAATGTTAGATTACTCTTTGTTTAGATCTCAGCCAGTCAACATGGCACTGTAGCCGCCCGTAACATTGAGTGGCGTTCGGCCGTCCCTCGTCAACCCCGCTCCACCGATTATCACCCTTGTCTATATCCTTCCCGTGAGAACTCCACGGACAATCTAACCACAAACAGAGCGCCCAGTCGCATCAATTCGGCTTTCTTTTTGGTAGTATTTGAAAATGTCGGACCACCACCTAAAACGGAGGTAGGCTGGGAGAGCAGCAAAATCTAATATTCACCGAGCGCGCGATCCGTCTTACTGAACCGTTTCTTGCAAATGGCGGTTCTAATAGCCTTGTCGGCCTTCTTTGTTTCTATAAGTCTTCTCTAGCTGGAGAATGGCTGCGCACGTAGTGCATGCCTTCTCTGTACTATATAACCTAGGCCTCGTGCGGAGCCGCGATTGTCTAGGTTCGATTCGACTCGGGACCGCCAAGACCCAAGTTCTAGTTCTCGAAACCTAGAATCGCGGGCCCAACTCTAAGAGTCTTAGAGCCGAAACTTAGATTCCAGACTAAATACAGAAGTAGGCCAAACAATACAAACATTCCAGTCGCGTGATTGTCAGGACTGCGGTCTGATAGCGCGCGATACTACTATACAGTGGTCCCAGGCACGAGGAAGCTAGAGTCAGAGAGAACTTCGTCATAGCGGTCTTTTTAGCCTACTTGGAAAGCCCGCGCCTGGTTGCACTCACGATGATCCAACGCAGCGCAGGCCATTACCGTTGTCACGTCGTCCACAGGGTGGTATGATGACATAAGTGCTATCAAGCATTATATATTTAATCATAATTTTATTAGGTATGCGCTTTTCAATGGTTTTAACATTTTGACCAGGACATAGGTATGCAAAACCCCGGCTTCTATGTGTGGGGATTACCGATTTCTCTTCGTGGACGCCACAATGGTGGCACGTCATCCCCCATTAGCTAGATATTCGAACTAAGAGCCATTGCTCAGAAGCATTTGGGTAGACAGTAGCCATACTAGGCCGTACGAATTTTGCAACCGACTTAATGGAATGCAATAGCATCATATATGCAGTGTGCAGCTCGCTCAGATGGAAACACTCAACTCGTGGGTCAGTAAGAGGTTGGAAGCATAATAGACGCAATGGTGAATGATTTGTATATAATGAGCTATGTATAGAAGAGTAATTTATGTATAGAAGAAATTGTGAAATATATCCGTATGGCCTTTCAAAGTGATGATGATAACGACTGAAAACTGGTATGGCAACAGTTTCAGGTTCAATTATGCTTGCGCAGCGATCAAGATCTGGTCTCACGGCGTGTTACTTCGCGCGTGGTCGAATTGCTCTTCTTTTCGGCATCTCTAGGCTTCCTGCCCCAAACCCGGCGCCTAGAATCCTTCATCAGCGACTGATAGCTCTGCAAAGAACCTATAAAATGAACTCACGCATATTCATAGCCATGAATGTGGGAATCCTTTAACTGCGCCCGGACTTCAGCCAGATACACTTGTACCGCCTCCGGGCTCCATGGAGAAGGTGCTCCGAAAGTAGTGAGCAACCACATTGCATAGCCTTCCATGCCAGTGACCCAGTGGTGGTAGTTGAGCTTGCCAACCTCCTTGAGCACCTTATCCCTAGGCCAAGCTCCAATAGGTACCTTGTAAATATGCTCGTGGACATCAACAAACCCGGCTTTCTCGATACTGGCTCGCATCGTTTCCTGAATTGTCAAGGGGCGGCCAGCTCGCTCAGCACACCCGATGAAGGTCTCACCCCAATTAGCCAGGACGCTATCCTCTTGTAGTGTATCGTCATCACTCTTCACTCGAATATCGAATTCCATTTGTTCGATCCAGCCGCCAGGCTCAAGGTTGCTTAATGATATTAGTTTTACACGTATAGGAGTATACGTTATCTGAGAAGGGGTTAGGACTGACTCATAGCACTGCTGGTACAACGTAGCCCATCCTTGATTGTCGAAAGATCCGAGCATATGGCGCAAATATACAAAGTCGAACTGCCTGTGCCATGTCCATTCCTGAAGGAGGTCGTCAACCTCGAAAATACAATTCGTGGGTACCCAGGTAACAGGGGGTGGAAACAGATCCACGCCGCGGACAATGGCTAATAGATCTCAATGAGCGAACGAATAGCATGGTAGAAATATGGAGCGCTTACCAGATGGGTACATATCTGCGACGTCGCTAGCTACAAATCAGCGATATCCCCGGATAGGGTGCGTGGGAATTACATGGCCCAATTTCCTTTGCCAGTCCCGACATCGAGAATATGCTAGATTCGTCATTGGTATGCTGTTGTACCGAGGAGACAGGTATAGCTCTCACTTTAGGGGAATTGCCAATAGGAGCTCGATGTAGTAGATTAGGCTGGTAGTAGTCTAGCAGAAGACATACAACGTGGCTTTGGTAATTAATTTAAAAAATCAGCCATCTTCGGGTCAGGGAAGCTTAAAAAGAGGGGCTTATCTATTACCCGGTCTCATAGGCCTCGAATTGCTGGTCATTGGATGGACTCCTATAAACCAATTTTAGTCTTGATCCTCAGTGTGGACGCATAGGATTCCCACCAGTAGTCCTCTGGCTTCAATGCCTGGTATCTGCCCGCCAAATTAGTCCTGCTATATATCCTGAACTTAATGATGATAGCTTACGTTCGACCATGTTGTAAACGACCCCTGGCTATTTCTGAAACGATGGATGTAGTATCTCTGGTTCATTTGGTGAGCTCAATTATCATTGATAATACCCCTGGAGTTGGGCTTACTCACGACTGCCAATCCGAGTCTTCTAGGCTGTCGTAACCAGGATCCTGTCGGTCGAGGTGAGAAAATATCAAATAAGGACACATAAAATTCCTCACCACATCAATATGGCCTGAGGCCATGCTTTCTAGTTATCTTGAGCAGGCTGCTAACAAACCCTGACCTGATGGAAGGTCTTGAGAGTTCCAGGGTCGGGCGTTGCTGTGCGGGGGAGGTGGAAAAGCCGAACTCCTTATTTGGTAAGCGAGCTATAGTTGCCGAGTGCCGATTAGGACCGGCCTCCATTCCTTCGGGCGCGAGAATAAATTAAGGGGGAAAAAGCCCACAAACTCAATGAACGGATCCATCTAGCCCAAATCCCTAGCTCAATCTGTCGCTTTCCTTCATGCCTCACGATTGTGCACAAGAACATTTTTCCAGAAAACGTCGTTATGCTGCAATCGGAGTTGGACACACTAGGGACTCGCTTTCTGGTAGGAATCCGACGATTTCGGTTTGACGAGAATCAAACGATCATGACTGGCGACAATCTATAGGAGAAGAATCATATTACCATCCCAAACGTCAGGGTCTGCAGTCTGAGGGAGTTTATACAATAAGACATGATACATATAGCATTAACAAGGTGAGCAAGGGTTAACTATACCCTAGCACACGATGACCAGGAGTTAATTGAGGGGCCGTCCTCCATTGTTGAGCGTAGAGTCATCCGAAGTTGCACTGTATAACAGACGGACACATTTCTAGGCCCGAGGACAATCATATTCAATACTATACTACAGTCCGACTAACCCAATTTGGAAATCGAACTAGGGTTTATTCATGTAAAACAGGTGACGGTAGTTAAAATTTCCCTAGTCTGTTTATTAATCGATGTTTATTAACTAATGTTAACAAGTCAACTTAGTTATTAGATCTCATAGTGTGTTTATTAATCAGGATTACATTATCATTAATTGCATAATCGTTGTAGCCATGGAACTGGTTGCCAAATCCAGGCATTATACGGGTTTGGATTACTCAACACTCTCAAGGTCGCAGTAGGTTAAAACGTTGTCAGCAGTATTTATTCCCAGTAACCGACGTAAAAGACGCCGAATCGTGGTGAACTTGATGCGCTGAAGAAACTCAACTGAGATACGTGAACATGCCTTTGTTCCAGATATCCAAAATTTTGGTGATTGGAGGGACGGGTGCCCAGGGCCTACCCATTGTTCAAGGTTGCTATACACGCTCTGTTTTGCCTACTACTCACTTGAACATCACTGACTATTAGGGCCGCGTTCTAGAACTTGTCAAAGATCGACGGTACCAAGTCCGTGTCATGACTCGAGATACGAATAGTCGACGGGCAAAAGACTTAGCAGCATTGGCTGGTGTAGAGTTATTCCAGGGAACCTTTGCCAGTGAGGATGACCTGACTAGTGGATTTACCGGCTGTGATGGTGCTGTGAGTATTTCATCTTACTCCATGCTATTTTGTGAAACGGCTCCTTCCCGGAAACAGTTCATCGTTTTCATACTGAGCCAGAATTAAATAGTTTGTGAATATCGACAGCTTTAACTGCGGCGAAAAATCAGAGCTCTTTTGGGGCATACGAGCTTATGAGATAGCAATCTCCGTTGGCTTGAAATTCTATGTCTGGGGTAATCTTGACTACGGATTAAAAAAGGGTGACTGGAACCCAAAGTATCGATGCGGCCACTACGACGGCAAAGGACGAGTCGGGGGTAAGTCAAACTTCTCCTCCCCAATGATACAGGAGTTTAACGGAGCATATGCCCTTCGCACAGAATGGATATTGCAACACCCAACTTCTCAAATGGGGGTAGCCCTCTTCACTACCGGGTAAACGAACCCAATCTACTTTATTACTAGCGGCACTATCGCATACTAATCATTTTCTTTTCATGCTGAATTAGACCATATATAGATATGGCACTCTCTCCTTTGACCATCATGACGCCGCGACTTATCGATGGAGTAGTTACATGGTCGGTCCCCCTAGGTAAGAGACCCAAACCGGAAATTGACCCAGAATCTAATGCTAAAATATTCACAGGGGAGGGAGAAATTTCTCACGTGGCCCTCTCAGACTGTGGTATCTATGTACGTTGGCTATTTGACAACAATGATCGAGCAAATGGTCTGGATCTTGAAGTGGCCATTGCCCACATCTCGTATTCCGAAATGGCTGCTGCTTTCACAAAGGTGACAGGAAGGCCTGCACGTTACGTGGATGTTCCATTTGCAGAATATTTCAAGGCATTCAGTGGGCGTGAGTCGTTCATGAACGTGTTGAAAAATCCACGTATGGGGTTGATGTCCAAATTGCGATTCGGGTTTGGCTTTTCAACTAAACAACCATCTTCTTACAACGCCGACCCGGCAGATCCTGCCACATTGAGCTTTGAAACGAACTTCACAGGGTTCTGGAACCTATGGAGAGCGAGCAAAGGTAACAAGGGGGTCATGAGAAGAAACTACGAATTGCTGGACGAAATACATCCAAATCGAATCAGAAGTGCTGAAGAGTGGTTTACAAAAGAGGCAGAGAAAGGCGACCTCTGGGAGCGGGTAAATAATATGGCCCCAATACTCAAGTGGAGTGAGGACGGTGCGCACGGTACACTTTGAAATTGTTTTGTGGTAGGAGAGGAATATTGCGACTTCCACTTTATTAATAACCAGTGACCACTACATGTTTGTGACATGATCTCAGTTGGACAATGGACTACGTGGAGAGGGCATGTTCAAAGCTATTGTAAGGTGCTCGGCATTGCGGCTCCGTGCCCTGAAAGCTTATCGGTTTGTCTTGCTCCAGGGGCCCCTAGAATAAGCCAGAAAAGGGGAACCAGGAACAGGTACAGTAGTGTTCCCGTAGTCTGAAACTCTTTACCAGCTGTATCCGTTTCTACTTTGAACAGCGGACATGTGCTCCGTCTTGGGTTTTTGGCCAATAAGTCAGTCCAGTGGCATTCCCGGATCTCCAGTGGAAGTATTTTACTGTTTATGTAGGTTGTCTTCTAGTTGCCCTATCTCTGGTCAACTTCTTTCCTGAACCACAGGGAAAACCTCTGGAGGAGATCTCGGAAATTTCCGAGAAAGACGAGATTGCCCATGAAAAAATTCCTGTGATCCGAACGAGTTCTAAGGAGTTTTTGGTCTGAAAACGACTTATATGTGTGACATGCATATTGAATTTTAAAGCTAGCGAGTGCACTATACCGCTAGCTCTACAAGGGTATCAGCAGCGCGTGATGATGAGCAAATTGAGATGCAGTGTCTCTCGTTGGCTTTTTCTAAAAAGAAGAAAAAAGTCGCTCGAAGTTAGAATCGAGCTATTTCCCTTATCAATTAAACGGCTAGGAATCCTCATGGACAAACCGGAAACCTCCATATCCGACCAGAGTAAACGGAGCCCAGTAAAACGGACTCGACCAATCCAATTGGTCGATAATCATTTTCATCGTAGAAAGCAGAAATTCCGCATCAGGCACAAACTCAGCCGGACGTTGGCCCTCCACTTCCGTATCAGACCAATTTTCTAGCAGCCCATCCAAAAGTATACCGGCCTTCTCTCCATCAAGCTGCAATAGCTCCATTTGGGACTTCCGCATAAGCTCTGCAACAGAAAGCTGTGGCATACTTCTCAGATGGCGATAGAACAATGTCATAATCAACATGGAACCAAAGTCGCTCACTTTCCAGAGAGACCCAACATAAGCTTGGCAGCCAGTGCTCAGAACCACGTGGGAGAATCCAAGCACTTCATTACTTAGAGTCGCTTTTCCGAGTCCGCTGAGACATGCCGCAAACACGAGAAGATGGACGCTGCTACGGATGGCAGACATGTCAATCACGCGAAATTCTTGACCCTCGCCAATTGAAATCGACGAAAGCAGAGGGTTACGGTAGTTGACATCTCCGTGGGTTCCGACGTGCATGATCAACGAGCCGCCTTTGACGTACTCTCGAAATTCATCTCGCGTCATGTGAGATGCCTCAATAGGCCACGTTGCAAATGTGCGGGCTATATTGATGGCTTCGATTCCTGCCATGTGGAGGCTGGCCTCTTTGTTACTTCGTGTTGGATTTTCGGATGATTCTTTAGTGGGTGATTTGGCAAGAACGGATACCGTTGGTGTCATCGAGGCCGACCTTCTCCGGGAGAGGTGATGGAGCACACTCAGACTGGGGACTTGCGAGACCCCGGCGTGCATGATAAGTGGCTTCTCATCGAATACAAGGCTTGCAAATGGGAATGCTGTCATAGGATCAGACACTGAAAAAATGACGTGCGATTTCCTTCTGATTGTGTCTGCAAAGGGTTCCAGCAGCACTGCAGAGATCATCTGGGACAGCTTGTTGAGAGCATTTTTGCGTGCTTCCTCCTCTTCCCCAATGTATCCGGTCATATTGTGCATGATCTGCATTACCTGCATTACGGGCCTCCGGATATCAAAGACAGTCGTCGTTCCTTGATGCGTCTGTTGTATGCCGTCCCGAGTCACTGCAAATGAGATGAATCCACGGTGAGTAAAAGTAGCGTCTATTACCACGGAATGCTCATCGATGCTTTGATATAACAGTTTCGGCTCGATAGTAGAACTGGCGGTCTCGATGAAATCCGTCGCATAGGAGAGATTCCTGTCTCGTTCTAATTCATCGATATCCTTTCGCAGCTGCGAAACCTCTTGTTCCTGCTCTGAACTCAATTTCCTCAAAGAAAGCAGGGACCTTAAGAGTCTTCTTTTTTGGACTGATTCTGAGAGTGGTGTAGTATCAGGGACTCCAGTCATTCCAGGAATGTGGGTGGCTTGAGACTGTAGAGATTCGAGCACAGCCCGTGCTCTACTCATCTCAATAAACAGTAGGGCATGTTCAGACCATGAAATATCATCAAAATGCCCATGCTCGTATGCTGATATAAAACTCACGGGGACCCCTGAGCTTTCCCATCTCAAACAAAGACGTGCGAGGTTCATATAAACCTCTACAGACCACCCCTGACCGGAACTGCCAATCCTAGCATCCAAATCTTTCGTCTGGATACGACAAGTTTCAAGGATTTGACGAGCTTCGAGTAGCTTTGCAAAGCAAATCTCAGGTTCTTGATCTTTCATGATTTGTGCATAGTAACTGAGTCGTTGGGAGTAATCCATTGCACTCTCGGTCATCGTTTCAAAGAAGGGAGGCCAGATCTTTATGATCATATCGACAAGTCGCTGGGCTCGTTGCTTGTCCCCTGAAAATACAGCCATGATCAATGCGACCTGGGCATTCAAAGAAAATCCGGATTGAATACCGATTCCTTGCTGGAATTCCTCCAGTCTATCGTTGAACAATTCGTTATCATCAATAGTGTCAAAAATCTCACGGGCTTTGGCAGTATCGCCAATGCGATCACATGCCAGGATACGATAGAGATCTCTGCTATACTGCCTTTCCAGATCCGCGACCTCGTCCACAAAGCGGCGGAGGCTTGTCTCTGCTTTCAGGATATCGCCTTCATCCATCAGTCGGCGGAAGGTGTTATCCGCAGAAGCGTATCTCACCATGGCTGCATTCCAAGCTAAGCTTTTCCGCCATAGGCCCTTCACATTTTTTTCGGAAAAATGAGCATTAGGGTGAGTAAATCTCAGAATGTCGCCAGTTTCCAGTTTCTCGCGAAATGCAACGAAGCTCTCATCATGCTCAATCCAATAAGCCAGTTTGTTGTTCCATTCATTGAATCGCTGTATATCCTCACTCCGCAGATAAATGTTGTTCACTTCACTGCCGAAAGTCGACAACAATTGGAATTTACTCGTCGATATGGTGATACGGTCCGTCTGCAACGACGGTGTGTCCGGCGCCGATTGAATGATGGAGTCAAAGTGCTCAACAACTCCATCGACCATAGATAGCGCCTCCTCGATGAAGATTCGAGCTGCATCGACATTCCACATTTCGTTCTGTACGTGTGCTCGGCAGACCACGGATTGGAACAACGGAATCATGTCTCCGAGACGCTTGAATACTTCGTATGCACACTCCCATGCCAGCAAAGCAGTGTCCAAGTTCGAAAATTTGTACCATTCTTGATGCGCGTATCGGGATAAGATCATTCCAAGGCAGTGGGCCATTGTCTCGTTTTTTGCCTCAACGCCCCAAACTCCGATCGACGTCGCGATCGCTTTTATGTTGCCCGGATTTCCTCCCGTGATCCCTGTCAGAATCAGGTGTGTCTTCACCAGTTGAGCGTTCGCTTCATCTCTCCCAAAAAAATTGAGAGATTTCTGTAATTTGAGCTCGGACTCTGCGAGTAGGCCGAGCACCTGCTTGTTCAAGGGCCGTTCATGACGGGCCTTATTATGAAGACAACAGCCTTGTCGCAGTAGCACGGCAGCCTGACCGCGCTTGTTATTTGCTTCTCGAAACAGCTCTAAGGCAGAATCGTAAAGTTCTTTGACTCTGGGAACGTAATCATACTTAAGATCCAATTCAACCGGGTCCCACAAGGCATCGCTAAACGTGCAGCTGGTGACGTCGACAATAATCAGGTTCAGCGTGACGGGGCTGGCAAACGGAGGGCTTATAAGGTTATCTGCCTCTAGCAATTGGGCGTTGGCCATCTCCTCGTGATCTTCGAGTCTTTTGGATCTTTGGTATAGTTCTCGCAACAGGGCATCTGACGAAGGACTCTGGCTTGTGAGGTGCAACTCAGCGACCAGTCGGAACATGTATGTACCCATCCTGGTCACTCCGTAGGAATCGGCCTTGTCACGAAAATCAAGAAAAGTCTGAGCAACTTTCACAACTTTAGAGAGTTTGTCCTCGGCCGAGGTGGTCGCCTGGCGCATGGGACTGAGAGGGTGCAATAGTGTCGTGATATTCCTTGCTCGTGATGGATATCCGAGAACGGCATTCAAAACCAGAGACAATATTTGGTCACGGGGCAGGCTATGAGGTAAATACTTCTTGAAGTTGTCCATGAAGCTCTCTTGAATTTCAAAAGGGACGCTGGTGTTCCCGAGCATGGAAACGTTGACCGGTTTCCCATTCTCATGATAGAAGTGAAGTAGCGGGGGAAAGCGGCGGGTGTAGTCGGTTAAGACCTTATAGTTGGCATATCGTAGGCCCCATTCTTTGGGTAATTTATCGAGGAGATCTTTCAAGATCGCGAGGCTTTCATATGCATCTGCTGGCCTACCGGCAAGTACTGAATGTATGGCCGAACAACGAAGGTGCTCTGCGTAGACAGCAGGCTCCACCTCGGATATGTCAGGTTGCGTCTGCTGGAGATAATCCCAAGCAGCGTCCAGATCCCCAAGATACTCTTCTGCGAAGAGCGATCTGCCACAAAGATCGATGAAATGACCAAAATCCATTAGAGCTTTCGTGGACGGGCGAAAGAGTCTCTAAATTAGCCCTGCAACTGGAATTATGAAGCTCGATCTCGCTGAGCAGTTCCAAAAGCCCACTTACCTGAGGCCGGGTCAATATTATAAGCATGGTGGGCTCGGATGTGCCCGAAACTTCCAGTTTTCCACGCTATCATGAAACCCCGCGGGCGAATCGTCTAAAATTGCCCGATTAGAGTAAACGAATAAGCACAGGTTGGGCTGTGCCCCGCGAAGGCAGCAGAGTGAAAT